ATGTTGTATTTCTGTATCTGCGGGTTCCGTGACATATTTGTGTGCACGCGCATGTGTCAGTGTATGTGCTAAGTACCACTAGACATCCATGCGATTCTAATAACAGCATGCCTATGTGTTTATTTGTTTCTGTATATACGTATTTCTTTGGACATTCGTTGGCCTAGATGTGTTATCTGTACCGGCGAATCGCGCCTCTTAGTCACACTGGATAAAAAAAAATTCCTTCAGAGAATTAGAGCTTTATGCGGGCAGTAAATGGCTTGTTTATGTTGATGCTCGTAAGCGGCAGTTTCTTGATGATGCTGAATTGTCGGTGATGCAATGTCAAAGTCCAGCGAATTCGATTTCTTCACCAGCGCCAAGTGTATGCCTTGTTTTCTTTTACAATCTATTCGGGTTGGTCTGATAAGCAATGCTGTTATGCTAACCTGCTGATTTTTGATTCAGAATTTTGCTGCATGCGGCATTTTGGTTAGGCGCTTTTGCGTACATGCAAGTGCAAAAACGCATACCATGAGGATGCTGGTCTGCGTGTGTGTATATCTGTGCGTATGCACGTTTGGGTATTTTAATCTCGTCAACCAAGCAAGCTCCGGCGTTAAAATTTTGTTAATGTGTTCCCTGGCCAAGTGTTATCCTATGACCGCGGTACTAACCTTCAAAAGCACGCCCGATTTCCACTTACGAGCATGTGAAAGTTTTGGCTGGAAAAATGCTAACTCGGGAATCAGAAAGGCTGGAAAGCTGAAATTTTAAGAGGTTGTTCTCAGCCTACGTTCAATTTTAAGATTTCAAATTCAGCCGCTAGGCATGCGTGGTTTTCACATGCGGTCTCGCAAAAATTTTTGGCTGAAGAATTGCTATCGCAAGAAACATAAAAACTGGAAAGCGGAAATTTTAATGGAATGTTCCCTGTCCAAGTACTATATTAGTTGCACAATTAACTTCCTGAACCTCGAGGACTAGTATGTCACAGTTTCTAACTACTGGGGTTCCTAGCGATCGTATTACAGCACGATACAGCAAAAATGCATGATCGCTTGATGCGTGTCGCCAATGATTTTATAATTTCTACCATTTTGATAGAAACAAAAATAATACATTTTCCTAAGAAGTTACAAATA